GCTGTTGTTTTTTAAATATACATTGAAAATTTCACAATGATTAAGCTAGGCAGATTGATTGTTTCATGGGGAATGATTATTTTGTTATTAAATGTCACAAAATCATTGAAATAATGTTTTATTACAATACCAAAGAAAATGGAAAGCGCTTTTTTTTTGTGGATAGATTTAGTAAGGATGTACATTGTTCGTATTTTTTTTGATACAGAAAGTTGGCATCCGCTGATATGTAAAAAACCTGCATCAACAACAACCCTGTTCAACTAGCCAAATTAAGCCTAAATACAATCAAGCCAAACTTGGACATTTTAACCGCTATGTGGAACGTGGAGTTAGGTATTTGTCGGAGCTCTAGCCAATTCCACTTATTAGAGACACTGTGAGAAACTGAGTTTTCGTACTTTAACGGAGATTACGGATATATTACAAATTTGCTGTTAACTTAAGAAGCTTTTAAAAAAAATACACACTGTTTACTACTTGCATTAAACCTGGTGTATGAAAATATCATAGTACCTGTTACATATCATAGTACCATATTATGAAGAACAAATCGCCATTACAAAAAAAAACTAAGAATTGTGCAAGTGATTTAAATCCGTCGAAACAAGTTTTACCAATCTTGTTTTTGTTTTACCATTAAATTGATTAGCTCTAGTAATCGTTATCCTTTTGCAATTACTACTAAACTTATGGCGTAGTGGCAGTACCCCTAAGATGTTTGCGATTTAAAACTTTGACTGGCACTGCAACTGTTATGGACAGGCATGTAGTTTACAATCAGGCACACGACTGTTCGTCCCGTCACTTGTGTGTATTTTCAGTTCCATAGACGCTAGTGTCCTAGACGGCTAGGCAGAGAGCACGGAACTCCCTTTGTCACAATCGTGGCGTGGCGTGGTTGGCTCGGATTGTCTTTTTTTGTATGATATACGCTTGGACCGTTAGTATTTCCTATTTCTGAATTGACGTAATAAAGTTAAACACCTACAGTATTGTTGTCACAGTGACTGTTGATATTAGCCGTTAACCGCGTGTGCCTCGTTAACGGGTATTAACTGTGTTAAATATTTAACGCCCCGTTAGTTTATCGAGCGCTCAAGGCGCCCAACCAAGGTGTTTCTATGTAGACCACAAACAAAAATAAACTTTAGATAATTAATAAATTTGTTACTATCGAAACAAATTTATTTTATGTACCTAGGTACTTCATGATTACTTTTTATTGATTACTATTTATATTATAATAATAACACACACACTCGTAGCCCCGCACTAGGGAAACCCTGTATCGCGGTTACCATGGACACTCACACATAGACAACCACAAATTACACCCAAACTCACAACTGAAATAAACGAAGACTATACAAATATTTCTCCTGGCCCGGGAATCGAATCCAGGACTTCTGCATGGCAGTCTAGGATGGTAACCTTTCGGCCACGGAGACAATTTATTTATATTAGGAATGTCATACCGCTTACTAATAGTACCTACTTGTCGCTAATAGCACTACTCGATATCTTTTGATATCTTTTTGTTTGTAGAAATCATCTAAATGTGCTTATATGCCATAAATATATGTTTTTATCGGCTATAAGTAAATAATAGGCTCATGTCGCATTCTCAGTGTTATAGTGATGAAATGAAAAAGTAATAATTTAGAAACTAAGATCAAATTCAAAAAATATTTCATAGGCAAGCAAACTACACTTTAAATCGTGAAATGATTGAACACTACTCATAAATGATGTAGATTCCTTTGAGAAGAAACTATTGTAGTTCTACTTGAAGCAACCCGATAAAGCTAAAAGGGCTTTGGATTGTTTTACTGTATCAAAATAAAAAAAATCTAAATTATTTATTTCATAAGTAAGTAAATTACACTTGAAATCGCCACAATTTACCAAACTGGCTTATCGTTTATGTAATCCCTAACTGAGTAATATCCTCTCTTTAGTATAGTTGCCGTTACACATTGACTTACAAATAAATGGACGACGGGTCTAATACAAACACCACGAAAAAAATGTCCCAAGTCAACCTATTTAAACGTAGTGACATGTCAAGGAATATGAAAAAGCTAAAACGTTGAATTTAAATTGTAATGTCATCGCAGTACTGTCTAATTTTGCTAGCTTCGCTGTCAGTCGAAGAAACGAAGACTAGAGCGTGAATGACGCTCTGTATACGATTTTAACGCCCTATAAGTTCGGACACTTTTTAGCGCGGACCCGACGTCCATATAATTGTAAGTCAATGCCGTTACTTCTTTTTTTAACTTATCAAAGCATATGTCCAAAACAGCTTATGGAATCTTATTATAATACTGAATACTACCCCATAAAAGAAACGTAAACCCTCCGAAATTTTAACTACGATGACACAAGCTTCCATTTATGTCTAGCATTAAAATTACGCACGTCACTCCGTTTATTACACAATTCATTATTCACACGCCCTAAAAGTATACAATTTTAAACAAACTGTGATGCAGTGGTCAATATGCCAATTTCTTTAAAAAGCTCCCTGAGTGAGGTACGTGAGCTTAATTTATAGATCGCCGTAACCGCACGCTTCTGCAAAAATAAAACTTGTTTCGATATTAGAAGCTGCGCCTCACAATAAAATACCGCATGACATTATACTGTGAAAGTTACCTAACTTTTCGTATGGCATAAGCAGCAGAACTAAGCTTCCCAGCTAGTGTCGAAATATGTGAATTCTATTGAAGTTTTGAGTGTAACTTTAGTCCGAAAAAGACAGTGGTGTCCTCCAAACCCAATTGTTCATTATTGAGTTTAATATCAGTTGCTGCGTTTTTACATTGGGTAGCGTAAACATAACATATTTTATTTTATTGGAATTGGGCTTAAGGTTGTTTAAAGTAAACCAATTTTGAACTTTAGAGAGAGCACCATTCACGTCGCCATAATTAGTTTTATTTCTGTAGGTATTAAATATCAGGGAAGTATCATCAGCAAATAGCACAAATTCACAAAAGTCGTTTACAAACTAAAGAAGATCATTAATATAAATTAAAAACAAAAAACGACCCAAAATAGAGCTTTGCGGTACTCCCATTCTTGCGTGAGATCCACACGACTTCACTCCATTCATATCAACTGTTTGAATTGTAGCATTTATACGCGAAGTTAATAGTTTTAAAGTGGACTTATGAACTCCACAAAATTCTAATTTTGAAACCAACGTCTAATGGTTAACGCAATGGAAGGCTTTTGATAAATCACAAAAAACTCCAAGAGCATTTTTTGACAACTCTTAAGCCTAAAATATGTGCTACAACAAAGCTGTATCTGCATCTATAGTTGAGCAACCTTTCGTAAAACCATACTATTTATCGTGAAAAGTTTGTGAACCCGAGAATAAACAATTAATTGGTCAAGAATATTTTTCTCATAGATCTTACTAAGAGCTGTAAAATTGAAACTGGTCTATAATTACTAGGGTCTCCTTTATCACCAGATTTGAACAAAGGTATGACTCTGCTAAACTTCATAAGATCCGTAAATATCCCATGATCAATACAGTTACTAAAAATATCTGCAAGGTAGGGAGCAATAGATGTTAAGATTGATTTTTTTTTTTTCATTTTTTAATTTAAGTTTTAAAAGTTTTTATAATATCTTCAACAGAAACATATTTAAATTAAAATGAGGCACAGCACTTCGGTACACATCCCATGAGCAAGTTGTTGTTGCTGTTGCTGTTGCTTAGTTGCTGCTGTCGTTCCTAATCCGAAGTTTGTAAAAAAAAATCGTCAAATATACCTGCAACCTCTGCAACAGAATCAATAATTACATTGTTGATTTTCAGAACAATAGCTATTTGAACGTGGTCTTCATTATTTATAACTTCTTAATTTTGTTATTAGATTTTTTTATTTTATCTCGAATGTGAATAGATTTAGCTAATAGGCAAACGTTTTTGAATATTTTTTGACATACTTTGCAAAAGACCCAATCGTCACGCTTAATTCTACTTCTATAAATAGCCGTCGTGGCCCAGTCATAGAATTTCAGTTTAGGAGAATATTTGAAAAATTTGGTGGTAAACACTTGATCAAATTTTATTTTTATAAATTAAATAGACTTCCATGAAGCACATTTGGTTCATCAAGGATAAATGGCAACGAAAAAATCTTTTTATCTACATTATGTTTGAAACATCTGCCTGGCTATATATATGGCCTGCTCATGATCCATTTAGGCTTGACCGATATTTTATAATTATAACTAACCTGCAGACCATAGTGGTCAGAAAAAAGTTTATTAAAAACTGATTTGACAACAGCATCACAATTCGAAAAAACATTGTCTAGACATGTGGTATAATGAGTCGTTACTCTATGAGTTTAAAGAATTGATGAGGTAACCCAAAAAGACCCGAATAAAGATACTACGAGTGGACGGATACTAATAGGGTTATTTTCAATGAGATTAACGTTAAAGTCCCCGCATGTATAATGCATATAGTTTAGGCTATATAATACTTATACAATACTTAGATATTGTGCTATAATTTTTATGTATATACTTGTTAATACATGTGTGTATATAAGTATATCAAAGTTTCCCAAAGTTTACTAATTTCACTTTACTATTCAGAATATGACGAGGTGAAATATCTTACGTACCCTACATTTCTTACTATATGTGTATAAAAAGTTAGAATTATACTAAGAACCTCTACTTTTTATACATTATGTATTTACTAATAAAATCGTGAAATATTTGTATAAAAATAAATTTCAACTATTGAAAACATGAAAGCTTTGAAAAAATTCTATAGTCACGATGCGCGTTTCATTAATTAATTGAGAATACACAACAGTGAATAGTATGCACCATACAATGTAATATACACCTAATTATTATATACGTTAAGGGACTTATTATATGGCTGTCCACTAGACAATGGCATGTCGCAGTGGCCGTGGCCAAGCGCGAGTCGGCCGCCAAAAGCTCAGTCAGATTCCGCGCCGTGAGCCCGCCGCGCGTCCACACGCCGCTCGACGCCGCCCGCCCTACCACACGGACTTTACGCATATCATAATAACTTATCAACTTGGAACTTTTACAGTGCTCTTAGTAGGTTTGTTATCAAAGATTTAATGTCATACAGAATGTAGAATAAATTGTGTAAAAAAATTTTTTTTTTAATAATTACATTTTAAACAGCGTGGTTTTAAATACTTTTTTTTTGTTGGTACGCGTATTCGATATCGTTGTATCTACGACAATATAAAAGGCCATACATTTTTACGGCTACTAATTATCATCTTTGATTTTTTTGTTTGTTTAATGTTTAATTTTGTTGCATTCACAAACTATCTTTTGGGGGTCTTTTTAATTTGCACGTAGTAAAAACATTACGTCAAACATGAGCACGTTCGTATAAGATACCTGTGCGGTATAGATATGTATAGACATGACACTGCATCAACATTCCGTTTTATTTCATAACAAACCAATCTATAAATATTTATGACCTAGAATATTACACTAGAATATCTCAAATGCAGCTAATCTAGCACAACAATCTTGGCAAGGGCTTTCTTCAGTTTTTATAAAACAATACTAGGTACCGCTTATTTCTGTGGTACCGTCTCCTGTTGTCGACGCCTTGCGTCGTTTCCATGGCCACGGTTGTACAAGTCTCGTAATTCATTCATGAGCGTCCTTTAAAGGAGTACTATAGCCTACAAATTATACCTTTGCATTTTTTCCGCTTGAATTCTTAAGTTTCTGTGAATTGATTATTAGTTCATGTCGTGTCGGTCACAGTGACTTCTTTTGTCTTATATGAGTTTTTCGAATCGGAAGGTTTGGAATCCATCGAACACGAGTTAAGTCCTCATTAAACTAGCATGAAGACCTGTGCTCTACAGTTGGACATAAAGCTATTATATCTGGAGTGTAGTAAGAGATTATGACACCATTCGTTTATTTACTATATTTGTGTTAGTTAGGAAGGGCGTAAAAGTCCAACTACAAAGTTTACAGGATGGAATAGAAATATTTTTGTTCATTAATTTTTTATTATCATAACTTTATTTACGTAAAAAAATCATTTTTACTTTAAGTATACCGACTGACGAAGCATGAAAATTTAATCCAACTAGGTTCAGTCAAGAATCAAGCTTGATACTTTTGACTTTCGACCATTCTTATTACAAGCGGCATAAAGATGAATTTAAATAGTAAATGTCAAGATTTACGTCCTCTTAACTATTGTACATCAATAAAACTGTAAGATATTGTGGGATAAATGAAGTATTCATACTACAAAAGAAGTGTGTAAGAATAATAACCAACATTAAACAAATGGAATCTTGTCGCCCCTATTTTGTTAAAAATCAAATTCTTACACTTACTTCCATCTACATTCTGGAATCGTGTAAATGCATTAGAAAGCATCCCCAATTCTATTCACCTCTAGAGAATAATAAAAGAAATGACCGTAACATGAACAAACTTAAAATCCCCTTCTCCAAAATGAAAATAGTTGCGTCTGGCCCACACACTATGTTTAATCATATCCCTAATAGTATTAAAAATCTCCAAAAATTTACAGAGTTTTGCAAAGTATTAAAAATATTCCTTATTCGTAAATGCTATTACAATTTAAAAGAATTTTTTGACGATTTGCTACAATGACTTTACGTTTAAAACAATTAATTAAAGATTCTAATTACCTATAATGTTTAATTGACATATGTTATTTAATACAATTAGAAAGATGTTTATCTTTTGACGATTTGATAAAATAATTATTTAGTTCTAATATTTGATTGATAACTCATAACGTATAAATTGTATTGTATATATATTAATTAAATTGCTGTATTAATAATGTCAATGTGAGACTGTTTTCCACAGTTGCTGTGCCCTTGCAGGGCGTCACATATTATCTGCCCTATATTGTAAGTACTATCTGTAAGCTCCATGTGTGATATGCAATAAATAAATAAATAAAGATTCAGTTCAAAAACCGATCGGCTCCACCGAAGTCATTTAAACTCTCTGCTATTAAAATAACTAGAAGACGAGTCTTTCAACAATTTGCCAACTAATCATAATAATACGTTACTAAAATTCACCAACGCAAATACGTATTGGCATTTCAAACTTTACGAGCATTAGTTACTTCATTAACATCTAATAATAGCTTGACGGTTCCAAAGACATTATTAGCTATTGCAGCTACTTTCGCTTCCTCCCGAATTCTGTTCACTCGGTTCAAAATAAAATGTTGGCGTGTCTCGTAGAGAATGCGGCTCTAGTATAGAGCAATACTAGTTTATCTAGATGCTGGGATGTTATTTTAAGGAGGCTTACCAACTATTATTTCCATTGAATTAAGTAGAAAAAATAATTAACCAAAATATATCTAATGCAGACGAAAATAAATAATCTCAGTATAGAGTACTAAAAAAACCGACCTCAAAAGTACGTAGAATTACGTCTATTTGCTAAGTTTCATTGAAATATCGCCTAGTTCGTCACTATACAGGACTTGACACTAGAGATAATAAGAATAGGTTCTCACTACGACACTACTCAAAGTATATTGAGAGAAAAACGCCTTGAATTGGAGAAATAGCAAAATCAACTAAATAATTGCTAAATGTCATTGCTCCTAAATTAAAATTAGGCGCTATTTATAAAAATGAATCTTCATGCGTGAACAGCCACCCTTTGAGGTGGATGATTTTCTTCAAAATGAAATGGGACCACTATGGAAATACCCCCTTTCCAACAAAAAAAGAATCATGAAAATCGGTTCACAAATACCGGAGTTATCGCGTAACATACATACAAAAAAAGAAACAAAAACAAAAAAAAGAGCAGTCGAATTGATAACCTCCTCCTTTTTTGAAGTCGGTTAAAAAAGTAATAGTAGTACCCGATACGCTCATTTAACTTATAACGTAAAAGCTAAATGAATAGAGCGTATTTTGCCATGACAGTTAGACGCACGCGGTCGCTGCGCGGCGGTAACGCGATCTCTGCGCGGCGTGAGCGCGAAGAAATTCGTGTTGAATAAACTATAATAACCTATATATATAATAATCTATATAAACTATAATATATAATTTATGGGGGCTTCAACGAGGCAAACTCAAAAGGTCACAGCGAAGAGTTATACCAGTGATCCCGGAGTCCCTGGATTTCTACCAAGCTGAGCAGTAGCTGAGGTTGGTGTATTTAAGTCTATTATGGTTCTTTGTTTCTCTGGCTGATAGATAAGCCCGGGCCATCCAAGCTTGCATTATAGAAAATAACATAAATAATAAGTATAGAAAAAATAAAACTAAACAGTAATTGTTTAGATATAGAACAAAATCGTGCGTTAAAGCTCTTATTTATTTAATGTTTATATCATTCTCAGAAAAAGTATTGAATACAGTGCCATCTAGTTTGAGCAACGGAACTTCAAGCAAATAGTTCATATAAGTTTTACAGAGTGTAAGATTTAATCAGTTTTGACGAAACGTCATTAGATCCAAAAAAATTGTTTAGGAAAAGATATATGCTACTTGTCGCTACTCTCTACTCACCTAATCGCCGTGACAGTGACATCATCATCATCAACCCTTTTACACGTGCACTGCTGGGCACGGGTCTCATTACAGACGAGGGTTTAGGCTATAGTTCACCACGCTGTCCCAATGCGGGTTGGTGACAGTGACAGCCACTTTAAGACACACCTAGTCTGGTTAATATTTTAAATCACTTTAACCAGTTCAAAATATGGCAAGTATTTGAGACTTGCTAGGTTACTTTACAGGTACTAGGTATTTGAATTGGCAATTAGTGGGTAATAAACTTAATGATACTCCAAATCTTAGTTGTTTTATTAATTTAATAAATCTGACAAAATCAATTTTATTCCAAATTGTCTAATGCAATAAATAAACCAAACACCTAGCAAATGCTCATACTGTGTTTTAATTTCGGCTGCTACAGTAACTTTTCATTTATACATAATTATTCAAACTTAGTAAGGGTATAAAATATATCAGTTGTGATCATTTTTGTGACATCAATATATTCGGTAATTGGTACCCTATCTATTCCTACTATTACTTATTCACTTATTTAAGGAAAATTGTTTAAGGGCGACCTTGATGATTTGTCTCCAGGCTCTCCTCAAAAATTTTGTCTAAACCACTTACTAGGTTTTGTTATGGGGCAACCGCGTTTGATAATTTCCACTAATTTTATTTATTAAATGAATAATAATCCCCTGGAAATTGATACTGTACAACACTAAACATGTACAAATACTCACACGTACAGTACACTCGTAAAGCCTGCGTCTCGAGATTGCTTTTCATGCAGCCACAGAATCCATTTGGGTTCTAAAATGGGCGGAAGGCGCAGTATCAGCCTTCATTACAGAATACTTGAACAGCTTATACAGTTTATTTTCTACTTTGTGCACGTCGGGATACTGGTTACACTGTTTTTTACTATATTTATCATGAAGATTTTAGTGTAAGAGGCCTGGGTGTTGCATCTCATTCGCATACTACTTCAATACTTGAGTGAGAAGTTTAACATTTTCATACAAATTAGGTTTTTTTTATATAATACCAAGTGACGGGACGAACAAGTCGTGCGCCTGGTGGTAAGCGACACGCCGGTCGATAACAGTTGCAGTGGCACTAAGAGCTTTAAATCGCTAAAAAGATGAAAATTAGATATGCATAGTAATTTCCATCGTAGTTTTATTAAGTCAACATCGGCCGTTAGTAATTGAATTAATGAATATGCCATTACTGCCTTTCCACTGAGACTCAACTGCCATTACAACTAGATTTTAACAGAGTAGCAGATATTATCATAATTGCAATGTAATGTCAATGGAGTCTCAGTGGAATTACAATAACTGGTGGTTTCAATATATATATACATATATATACTGCCACTGCACTCGTCACCCTGGGACATAAGTTGACAAGTCCCATGTGCCTGTAATTTCACCAGCACCCTTCAATAGGTTCCTTAGCTCTACAAAGGTCCCTAACGAGTCACGTGTCAGAAGGCTCTTTCGGATGTTGTATCAAAATTATAATAGGAAAGTCA